GATTCACGCTGTTTGCTTCGTACGAATGGATTTATATAATCGTATATGCATACATTACCATGCTAATCAGGGCAACACTGTTTGGATCTGGTTACTAAACGCAACAGATAAGTGGTTTATAAGCGACTTACCCAGAACGGTGTGTATCTAACATCCGCGTATGGCATAGAGTGCAAATTGTCGCATCTTTTGCATTCTAAAAATAATAATACGCAGCGGAAACGTGCTTCACTGATTCTTACGTCATCCGATGTCCGCGATTTCAAAAGCTTGACACACTGACTCCATATTATCCATCAAGATAAAACTCCGGCTTGCCAGATTCCAAGAAAAGCACTGCACGTAAATTAGCTACGGAAGGACTGTTGGGTAAAGGATAATGAGTGTTCAAAATATAGTTTTTGTAATTCCTTGAGAAAACCGAACTAGGTGACAGGTACAAGTGTTGTCAAAAGCAAATGCGTTCTTCTCAACCTCAATGGCAAATTAACGATTTTAAAGTGAAACGCCTGTCGCAATTGGTCACTTGGGTCTATTTAAAACAAATTTGCAATTCCTTTTACCAGATCTGCTTAGCGTTCAAAACTATTCAGAGAAAATCTACATCGATAAGCTTCACGGCCTCCGGGTGAAACTTTTGTCTCCAGTTTCAGCCAACCAAATATGTTGATGTTATGTCAGCTTGCGCATTTGTTCTCCCAATTCTACACACACAAGTGAAAGAGCAACTAACACCAGGTTAGTTTTGATCTTAGCGGAGCTCAATACAAACGGGTGAATCGGACATGTCTGGTGCATACTAGAGTCACACAGAATGCACATTTTTAACAGTAACCAGAAGATGTGTCCACATTCGAAAGTATAGCACCGAACTCTGAGTTGTCGTAATTAGCATCTTTGAGGCTAGATGGACTTACGAGGCACTATCGACCATTGCTTGGATTAAATTATACGCGTGTACCACCCAGCCAGCAGGCGATGAAAAGAAGAGGATCTTTCTCGCAACCATTGAGAAACGCTTGAATCATATGTGCACTGATTTATACCAAAATGATAAGAAATCGTATGTGAATATCCGCAAGGTTGTTGACTNAATAATAATACGCAGCGGAAACGTGCTTCGCCGACTCTTAAGTCATCCCATGTCCGCGATTTCATATTATCCATCAAGAGAAAACTCTGGCTTGCCAGATTCCAAGAAAAGCGCTGCACGTAAATTAGCTACCAAAGGACTGTTGGGTAAATGATAATGAGTGATCAAAATATGGTGTTTGTAATTCCTTGAGAAAACCAAACTAGGTGACAGGTTCTTTTTCTACAAAAAGCGTAACCAGTCACAACGGCAAATTAACAAATTTAAAATAAAATGCCTGTCGCAGTAGGACACTTAGGTCTATATAAAGCAAATTTGCAATTCCTTTTACCAGATCTGCTTAGCGTTCAAAACTATTCAGAGAAAATCTACATCAATAAGCTTCACAGCCTCTAGGTGAAACTCCTGTTTCCAGTTTCAGCCAACCAAATATGTTGATCTTATGTCAGCTTGTACATTTGTTCTCCCAATTCTACACACACCAGTGAAAGAGCAACTAACACCAGGTTAGTTTTGATCTTAGCGGAGCTCAATACAAACGGGTGAATCGGGCATGTCTGGTGCATAATAGAGTCATGCAGAATGCTCATTTGTAACAGTCCATACATACAGTAACCAGAAGATGTGTCCACATACAAACGTGTAGCACCGAACTCTGAGTTGTCGTAATCAGCATTTTTGAGTTTAGGTGGACTTACGAGGCTATCGCACTACTGACCATTGCTTGGAGTAAATTATATGCGTGTACCACCCAGCGAGCAGGCGATGAAAAGAAGACGATGTTTCTCGCAACCATTGGGAAGTGCTTGAATCAAATGTGCACTGTTTTATACCAAAATTATAAGAAATCGGATGAGAATATCCTCAAGGTTGTTGACTGTTCCAAACAAATAATACTTGAGGTTTGTCGCATCCTATATCCAAGCAAGTGGTAGCTCCGCAAGCGCTTATATTGTAGTCTTGTTGTTCTGACATCGCAAACGTGATAGTGATGTTTCGGAGCATGTTCGCAACAAATCATTAAGGCCCACACGTAGATATTTCAGACGTGTAACCTAGTATTTGAAAGCCTGTAGAACACGCCAACTCAGCCTGAGGGGTATAAGCACTCAAATTACTGCATCCTAAGATGCTAGTTATGACTGACCTCGTTCTCGTTACTCTGTTTATTGCACATAAAAGCACGTACGTCCGCAGTGTGAACCATGATTTATTGTCCTTACAGTTTCATCATTGACGTCCTCACAAGAAGCTTTCTACAGCAAATGTTACGACTGCTATAAAATGTGATTGTTTACGATATTCGTGCTCATGCCCATTTGTTTGCTTGTTTATTTGAATCAAACAAGTGGGAGAGGGCCTCACGCCAGGTTGGTTAGAGTTATAACTAATCGCATTATAAAGTATGGAAGGAGTCACGGAGGGCAACAACTGCATCCTAAGATGCTAGTTATGACTGACCTCGTTCTCGTTACTCTGTTTATTGCACATAAAAGCACGTACGTCCGCAGTGTGAATCTTGAGGCGTTCGAAATCAAATATTTTTTACTCAGCACAACTGTGTGAGAAAACGTCCTATGTGCCTATTAAAAACGACAGAAAATGTCTGGACGAGGTTTGCACCCAGAGCAGAAATAGGTCTGGGGTTCGTATGAATAATATTGCTTATTTCGTGAAACGAATGTCGGATAAATTTGAACTGACTATATTCTTATACATATACTCGCCCTAACGGTGTGCTCACCTTCGCTTTTCTGAAAATATTTTTACAAAACCAGCACGTATGTTCATTTTGGACATAATTTTGCCAGTCTGAATCTTTCTAGCCAGAATAATCTCTCACGCGTTCCTTTTAACCAAGTACAAGTTATGGCGAAGCAGAACAAAATGGCACATTTAGGGCTCAGAATGTGCCTGACAAAAATTAAAGTCAAAATACAGCGTAGTAGATTGACGTATTGGAATCCGAGATTTCGGTTGCCTCAAGCGACATTTTCAAGGATACCCACAGCATCCAAAATGTCGGAACTTTCTCTATTTTTAATCCACATGGCGCTCAGTCATTTTAACTGCGTTATAGCTGAGTTTCACCTAAAACTTTGAAATGCAGTCATCTAAAACACGAAGTGCTTACACCATACACTGCTTTATCTACCCAAAATAACAAAGTAACACAGTGTCAATCCAAACGTAAGTTTAGGTGTTGGTTTGGTGCGAGAACGGTGGTTCGAAATCGGCATGCCACATAATTTACATATTGGTTTTAGTGCATGTCCCATAGCGTTGCGCATAATTGGAGAGTGTTATAATTGGCAACAATTAAGAAGTAGACTAAAGGTACTAGTTGAAAATTGACCCAACTTTACGGTACGCTCAGCCTAGGAAACCTAGAATTAGTACAATACTCTCGAATGAGTTGCGTGTGTTTGGCCTTCATAAACATAGCGTGCACAACGTTTAGGCTACAAAAAAGCTCTGTGCATTCCTTCAGATTTCGCAAATCATTTATTGATTGCCGACACTTGTTCACTGATTTAACGACAGGCTTGGGTAGTCGCTATCTCCCAGGTACTTTATAATGGTTCATTCCAAGCACTGTCAACTGGTTTGTCAAGGGGGCAAATTCCATTTGGTACAGTTTTACTGACATCACTAGATCGCATTTGTTATTCTGAACAACGACACATGACAAAGGGTGTAATACAGCTTTAGTATAGTATGTTGTTAAACTCTTCCTCTGTTGCATGTTTTTATTTGCACCAATTCAGTGATAGAATGCCAAACTGCCGGTATGTCCCAAGTAAAATGAAAGCATGCAAAGGACAGTAGCCGGAAATGTGAAGTTTGAGAGTGTATGAGTGCTTAAAAGATGTATATCGGTAACACTATTTTGCTTATCGCCTTCAATTTTGTTTCCGGTACCGCACGCACAATCTTGTGGGTTTTAGAGCAAAGGGAGTGTTTCGCCATATCGGTTATATTCTAGCTCAATTGACTGAGCGTATCATATGCTTTGTTGAAGAGAAACCGCGTACTTGTTTGTGAGTAAGTTGAGAATATCTTGTGCGCAACTACAAGCACAAAATAAGCAACAGAACGTGCGCGTTATTATCACGTTTGTGTGCGGTGAGAGGCAACCATTTATACTTCCGCATCCGCCGTAAAAATAAACTGTTACATTTGGCACATGCACTTTGCACCTATTTGCCGATTCTCAAATGTTTCAGTTTCACTTAGGCAATTAACGTTGCCCGCTTTATCCAAACGATACAGTCCGATTTATTATCTGGTGCTGCATTATCAATTAATTATAACGCTTCATAATTGAAAAAAGCAATAAGTACGTTCAATTGCCTTGATGTAACCGTACCACTCTTGTTGCAATGCATCCGATATTCCATTAAACGCACGACGGCATTCTTTGTAGAAGAACCTGGAGTAATCAGTTAAATGCAAAACTAAAGATAGTGCGCACGCGCATAAAGGTAGTCCGTGTTGATGTTGCAATTGCCTAATTTTACGTTGTTTCTATTGTTGCGCTCAAGCGGGAAGTGGACTACAAGGAGGTTAGTTTGCGCAAATACAATCATTTGTATATCAACTTAGTTTCGACAGAAGACTCACCTGAAGTCCAGCTGAATTTCTTGAATTTGATGTTCTCACTTCTAGCAATGGACGGTACAGATAACATATCGAAAATGTTCCTGTAATCAAACGAGATACACAGACCTTGTCACACCGCGTGTACCCGCGTTCGACCACAAACACACCAGTTTAAAACAAGTTTTACATTGGATTTCTGGGAAACATTACCAAAAGTTCGCTATCGAATCAAAGAAAACATTGGGAAACTAGCGTTTTGATTGTTTCCTGGCGCACATTAGGACAACCGGTCAGAGATACTTACCTGCCAAAGAAGCACTTTGAACTGCATATCGTCTGGACTCCTAGACGCAATGAAAAGCGGATACCAACTACTGAGCTTACTTACCCGCTGAGTTCCAAACCACATGAGGATGCAATTTTACGCCCTCATATTCCTGCAGACATTTAGAGTCTCCAAACTCACAATAATGTTTCTCTAACTACATAGATGTATAATTATGCATATATTGTTCCCTCGAATTGCCCATACCCCAAAGAATCCGTGAAGAAGCCGAAGGGCAGACATGAAATAGTCTGTAGCTTTCACAGAATTCCAAGGAAACTGGTGTACTTTCGATGCATACGAAGAAAACACAGGCCGTGCAAATTAAAATGCGCCATTGTGAATGTTTAATCAACGCTTATAACGCTGTTCGTTTGATTGTACATTACAAAAATTCAGAACGTATGTACAGTTTTTGTTCGATGATATTACCAGTTGCGCACGAACAAATACAATCAAAGCATGCGATATTTGCAGTGTTATTCGTGATTTCTAACGCTTGCTGTACATCTTCGGATATAACTTTTATTTTTGGTCAAAATTTCAACTCCGTATAATCTAGTTAACAATTGTCGAACAGATGGTACGTTTCCTATTATTGAGGCGTGATATACTATATTGTATCAACGATTCTTCAATTAACGAGTAATGTCTATCGCAGCAAAAATCTGTGGAGGTCTTGTTTGACTAGGTGTTAACAATTTCTGACACCATAAAATGTACATGCTGCGCTCTGCTACCTGCCATTTATAGCCCCCTGCTGTCAGTTGTAGTTTATATGAGGTGCTTGAGATTTGATGCTTTATTATGTTCCCTGTGGCGTTTAAATTAAGCCAAATGAAGACCCAGGCTGTCTGAAAATTTGTCTCTCAAATAGAACAATTTGGAGACAGCTGCACGCGGTAATGCGCCACAGTGAAAATAAAAGGCGAACTAGTACTTAACTTCTGTGAACAGACTAAGGTGTTGGTAGCTACTTTCTAAGACATGATATGTGTCATAATTCAAAAACATTCGTTCTGCATTCTTCACTTCACCAGGTTTAATACCAAACCATGGAGCTCAATCGTCTCCCTGTTGGTTCTGCACAAAGTATTTGGATGTGTCTGCAAAACATCCACAAGAGCCTTGAAATACAAGATTAGGTCTAAGCATGTTTTGACAGATGGCAGTCGCCAATCTCGCTTTTTCAATAACTAAAAGCATTTGCTGATACACGCCGTGACAGGGAATAAAGTCATGTCTTAAGAATCATGTTTCCAAAGAGAAACTACCCACAAAGTTGCTGAAAACTCCGACCACCCACCAATGGTTTCGCTCTTCATGGTGCTAATCAGGTGGGTGAAGACCAAATTAATTAGCAAACGGGTGTACATCTCGGAAAGAGTCCAATTTGAGTTCAAGTAGAACATAATGTTGAGGAAGCTCGGGGACTGCACATACCTGACAAGTCTCAAGAAGGGCGAAACCGGTCAGATAATGGGTGAGTAGTCTCCTTCATGAAAATATACTGCAATATCTCGAATATCGTGCAAACTGAAACATGAGGCGGCCTGTGTAGAGCACATTCAGTTGTAGAATATCATAAACGAGAGATTCAGTTCAGTTTCTCGTGAAAACCAAATTGATTTTCAAATGAGATTGTTTCTCAAAAATCATGATTCAACTTTATATTTTGTCTGCGTATTGTGCAAAACCAGGCAGTACGTTTTCCATCAGTCATGTTTATTTAGTTGCTGTTTCTAAACGTTTGATTCTGTACATCTTACCGCCTCCTTTTGGTACAAACGTGTCTAGCAAAAGCTGGTCGGCTGATATCGGGAGTACAGTCAATGAAATGGACCAGTGAACATGCAACACTTGACTCACATCAGCCGTGGAAACGTGTGCACTGTGACTGATTGCTAGTGTTCGTTCGAAGAATCCGTTGGTAACTCAACTTTGCGTCTTTGTGTATGAAATCAACTAACTGGATCATTCAAGACAGACTGGATGGCAGAGATCACTTTAGCACAAAGCATCATATCGTTTGGAAGATGCTTGCATTTTTGCAGACACCTAAAAGTGTAATTTCGTACATTCGTGCATTCACCTGCAGGCTTTCCCATCAGTTACATGTGCGCAGAAACGAATTGGGCGTTTATATGGATTTTTTCAATACAAGAACGCATCGTCAAACACATCCCAAAAACGGGAAAATTTTAAGCACCACTCCAGACTAATGGACGTTTGGGAAATAAGAAGGAGATTATTTTGCGGGTTTAGAACTTGGCTGCGTAAATGTGACTGGACATGAACTTTGGTAGGTGTAATAACAAAGCTCATGGACAGGCGCAACTGATAAGCCTGCTTGGCAGGTGCTATTGGATCAAATTTTATGGTTCATTTATTTATGAACTGTAAGTCTATATGGTTGAGGAAAAACAAAATGGAACAAGAAAGATTACATTTGGAAATTTAAAAAAAGCTTGATTTTGGCACGTAATCTGTCTCTATGTTGTCAGCTCAACGACGTAGGGAATAATATTCTGAATTTCTCGTTCATTTCTGTGCATCTTACCGCCTCCTGTTATGATTTGAATGTCTAGTTTATTTGGGCGAAGACTGTTTTCTTTGGGACACGTATCTTCAAAATATGCGGCCATCACACCATATGCACTAAAGACTAGAACTTGTACAAATATTACGTTGGCCAAACTGAAGCGTGGGAAATATTGTCAGACAATAATATTCCCGCGAAATCCGGGAAACCTGCTACTGGAACTATTGATGACCATCCAGCAATCAACGCTCTAATCGCACAGTTAGGAAGGAGAAACCAGAATGGTTTAAAATGCATTAAAATTGTTATATCGTTAGTAACATGTGGGGAAATGTGGGTTTTCAAACAGCGTCCAAATTTTCGTCTTTTTCACTTAAAACTCTCCAATAAAAAACAGCTGGTAATTCTACTTTGATGCCATATTTTGTTCTACCATCGAAATTGTTACTTATTGAACGCGATTTCGTGGTCGTTTGGCTCAAAATGCAACAGAATGTGGACATTTTGATCGAGCTACTTATGCTGACTCTCCACGTGCTAACCCCTGAAGTTGTTGTTAAAAATATTAAAGCCCAAAAATGTGCAGCAAGGCGTACGTTTTATTGTTCTGATTAACTCAATGAAAAACCAGTATACCTCATAAAATCTGCAATTCAATGTTGTTCCTAAAGCTGAGTAAACCAGACACACGCGATGCGGAATTACCGCTTACGATTAGAAAAACAAATTGAATTTCTGGTTGAGATAAATAATTAGTGTGGGCGGAAAAAACAATATCGTTGGTGCATCACGCCTATTTGAAGTAGTGCTGTGGCACTCAATAAACTGTTCAGACGGAAAGCATCGTCCAAGCAAAGCAACGTGTGTGCATCAGATCTGATCAATACCATAACCGTACACGTTCTCACCCTAGAATGCAGATGATCTTGGTTGCACTTCATCGAGAGCTTCTGTTTTGTACGGGGTGGATACACAACTGCGGATGCGTTAAATTTGTCGTTGATCGGTTGACGCGGCAGTGGCTCATAATTTTGCTTTGAGTGTTACTCTAAAATTAGTGAGCCTTTGTTTCCAGACGCGAGATGGCCTGTTCCGAGAAGTGTGCATAGTCGGGATGCAAACTTTGTACGACCGTACGAGTTTCTATCTTTATACTTTTGAGTCGAGCATCGCAGCATATGTCCAACAATCGTGTTCTGGTCAACTCATTCCTCCTTTGCCCTGTTCTGTGTTGCTTTATTTCATGTCATTCAAGTGAACGAACACCTAAAAACACGTTAGTTTTGTGCCACGTTATTACAACAAGCATTGGTGAAAATGTATTGCCCGAACACCTATCTTGTAGAAAATCACATGCAACTGTTGAAGCCATGTAGCTACAATACGCTGAAAACGAGTCCCGGTAGCATATTACCGTATAAACAAGGAACTGATAGAGTGACCCTGGTTAGATATTGAAGGGACTTTCTCCAAACGTTTTGAGAAGTATGCATCAATTTGTGTAACGTTTTCATAGGCACGTTCGTGTTATTCAGAACATTGTTTTTCCCAGCCCTAACACCTGCGTCTTTGTACATTCGCAGGTGATTCATTCACGGGATTTTCCGTAAAAGTAGTCTGTGAGACGAACTCTGCCCGTTCAACAGATTCTACAGCGTACACGTCAGGTTTTATACTAGTCAAGCAAAATTTTACGACCTAGGCTACACAAATTTCGGCACTACCTCTCATTTTTTTTCAAACTTTTCGAATAATCAAAAATGTTCCAACGCACACTAATTCATCTTTACAAACCAGCATGTACGTCTACTTTGTTTGGTTGTCGTAATTGTCTTGGTTCCCAAAATCATGTTTGTGAAGCCTCCTGAGGATCATAGCCTAGACCATGTTTGTAACGAAATAATAGCACTTCAAAATCAAACTGTAGTTAGATTTAATATTGTTCCATTCAAAGCGTACCGTGTTTTCTCCAATAAAATTATTCAAGTGGGAGCATGTCAAACAGCAGGTAAATTTCAATCCAAGGTTACTTCCGCCAACTGAACACTAACCGTGGAGCGGATGAATTTTTAAACCTACAACAAGAACAACTTTTATCAATCATGCATAATTTGAATCAGGCTTGTTTTCGATGCTATTTCTGAACGCGCCGATTGATCCTTGTTTGTGCATAGATGCACTTTGAAAGCATGCTTCGCAATATTACCAAATTTCATGTGCATGTGATCATTGTGTACCGCCTTGAAGTTAATTGGGTCTGTTAAACTCATGAAGTCCCGACGATGCAATATTATTGATAGTGTGACCTAATTTGCTCAAACCTCATGAAGACGGATAAGTCCTCCGTTCAGCTAGCGACAGCATTGTCAGGAACACATCTTTGTATTCGATTGTCTTGTGCAATCACTTCAGAGTGGTTTTGCAAACTGCAACAGAACGAGCGTCACTTCTTTCGATGGATGTTGTAAACCATAGGC